CTAGGTTCAAGCATAAAAAGATCCATCAAGCTACGTGGCTGTCTCCGGATCGAAAAACGAGAAACCAAATCGATCATGTTGTGATAGACGGTAGGCACGCTTCCAGTGTTTTATACGTACGCACACTCCGAGGCCCAAACATCGAGTCGGACCACTATCTTGTTGCAGCCAAGATTCGCACCCGCCTCTGTGCAGCAAAAAATGTGCGCCCAAATAGGCAAGGAAAGCTTAACGTCGAAAAGCTGCAATCACAACAGACAGCCAGCGCGTTCGCTACTCGACTCTCACACCTGCTCTCAGAGAGCACTCTTCAACAAACCGACATATGCGAGCAGTGGAACCACATTTCTCGCTCATTAAGTACCGCCGCCGAAGAAGTAATCGGATTTCAGCGAGCCCGAAAGAACAACTGGTACGATGAGGAGTGTCAGAAAGCTGCAGAAAAAAAAGATGCCGCCTACAGGGCCACGCTGCGATCGGGCGCAACGCGCGCTATGTGGGACCGCTATAGGGATCTGAAGAAGGAAGCGAGACGTATTTGCCGCAATAAGAAGAGAGAGGCCGAAATACATGAGTGCGAAGAGCTTGAAATGCTGACCGACAGGAGGAATGCCCGAAAATTTTACCAGAGAGTTGGGCGACTTACGCAAGGTTTCAAGACCAGGGCGTACTCCTGTAAGAACAACAATGGTGACCTAGTAACCGATGTCCAGAGCGTACTTAAATTATGTAGGGAACACTTTTCTGCCCTACTAAAAGTTATGGAGAAGAAGAAGCCGAACCCGCAATTGATGGTGACGGAGTCGACGTTCTACCGCCTGACTATGACGAGGTACGTATAGCAATAACGCGGCTGAAAACCAACAAAGCTGCTGGAGCTGATAGCCTGCCAGCTGAGCTATTTAAGTACGGCGGCGAGGAGTTGATAATGTGCATGTATCAAATCTTGTGAAGAATATGGTCAGATGAACGCATGCCCGACGACTGGAATTTAAGTGTGCTCTGCCCACTCCACAAGAAAGGTGACCCCGCTATTCGCGCCAACTACCGCGGGATCAGCTTTCTAAGCATAGGTTACAAGGTCTTATCGAGCGTATTGTGTGAAAGACTGACGCTCACCATCAATGAACTGATTGGGTCTTATCAATGTGGCTTTAGACCCGGCAAATCCACCATAGACCAGGTATTCACAATACGCCAAATCTTGGAAAAGACCCGCGAGAAAAGGATCGACACTTACCACTTATTTGTCGACTTCAAAATGACGTTGAGCAATACCACCAGCTCCGTCAGGATTGGGAAATACCTCTCCGAGCCGTTCGCCACCAAACGGCGTTTCAGACAGGGCGACTCCCTTTCATGTGACTTCTTTAATCCGGCGTTGGAGAAGATAATAAGAGCTGCAGAACTGAACCGCTCAGGAAGAATACAAGAGCGTGCAATTGCTGGCTTATGCCGATGACATCGACATCTCGGTAACAAAAACCGCGAAGGCTGTTCTGCCTTTTCCAATGGACTGGCGGTAAACAAACAGTCAGCACATTCGCGCCTTGGCACCCACGTCACTGTTGACAGTTACAATTCCGAGAAAGTAAAGAATTTCGTTTACTTGGGAACCAGCATTAACACCGATAATAATGTCAGCATTGAAATCCAACGCAGAATCACTATTGCCAACAAATGCTACTTTGGACTGAGTAGGCAATTCAGGAGTAAAGTCCTCTCTCGACGTACGAAAACCACGCTCTATATGGCGCAGAAGCATGGACAATGACAACATCCGATGAGGCGGCTCTTGGAGTGTTCGATAGAAAGATTTTGCGGAATATTTACGGCGTTTACGCGCTGGCGACGGCGAGTACCGCAGACGATGAAACGATGAGCTGTATGAGCTTTACAACGACATGGGCATAATGCAGCGAATTAAAATACAGCGGCTCCGCCGGCTTGGCCATGTCGTTCGAATGGACACCGACGCTTCAGCTCTGAAAGTATTCAACTCGGAACCCGCTGGTGGTAGCAGAGTAAGAGGGATGCCCCCACTGTGATGGAAAGATCAGGTGGAGGAGGACTTGGCTTCACTTGGCGTTTCCAATTGGCGTCAGTTGGCACAGAAAAGAAACGACTGGTGTGCTTTTCTGAACTCGGCCAAAATCGCTTAGGCGGTTACAGCGCCAAAAAAGAAGACCCACGACAGTCGGGTCTACGTAACCGGAACGACCCAGATTTATATCTGGCCAAGGACTGTCACTCCAGCAACACTCCCCAAAAAGTCTTTGGGGAATTTGTATGCTGCTACAACAACAACAACAAGAAGAAGAGGATTATGTCACCTTCATGGAGGATCATTACTATACCAAATGCTTAAATTTGAGTCTTATGCCGGTCGCATAGAGGGATTTTTTTTATTTTGACGCGGTCTATTGTACATATCAAGTTCCAGTTCTGTACCATGAACACTTCCAGAGATATGCAGTATGAAAAATTCGATTTGTGTGGGAGGTGACACCACAACCACAATTTTTCTCCATGAGTATGCGATTACTTTCATATGTATATCTCCATACCATGTTCGATTCCTTTTCCGTGTATATTTTCCAGGATATGCAGTATGAAAAATTTGGTTTGCATGCCAGGCGCCACGCCCCTTTTTCTAATAGCCCCAATTTTTCTTCATAACCATGTGATTGATTTCATATATCTCTACACCAAGTTCCAGTACTCTACCATGAACATTTCCAGAGAACAACAGTATGAAAAATTCGGTTTGTCTGGGAGGTGCCTCACCCCCTTTCCCAATAACCACAATTTTTCTCCATGAGTATGCGACTGTTTTCATATATCTCCATACCATGATCGAGTACTATACCATGAACAGTTCCAGAGATATGCCATATGAAAGATGCGGTTTTTTGGGAGGTGCCACACCCCCTGCACCTACCGGTATGAAATATACTTTAAATCCGATTCTCATACCTACCATATATACACAAAAAATTTCATAAAGGTCGGTCGAGCCGTTTAGGAGGAGTCCGACCACGAACACCGTGACACGAGATTTTTATATAAATACGTATTAGATTTACAGAAAATAAAAAATTATTTTCCATTTAAATTTCTGGTGAAACCGGCTGTTATCAATTTTCTTAGCGTTAACTTCGAAGTTACATACCTTTTTCTGATTGACTTTGTTTATCTATGAGGTTTTCATGCAAATTGCTAGAAATTCTAAAATATACATGTCACCAATAACAAAAATCTCGACGTGCTGGAAAAAACCAAAGATGTATTTTTATTTCGCAGGCCTCTATTATCTTCGCAGCGTCATTCAATACGGGTTTTAAATCCAGTGGCGGCATCTTCCTAGTCGCCGGGTATACCGACGGATAATACAGTGACTTCTCGTGGCGTTTTCTGCCTCTTGCTTCATCCTAGACATCGCTCCTTTCGTTTTTCCAACCACTGCAACTATCCACATACTTGCTCCGTTTCATACTATTTTTCTGTACAAATTTGACGATAGCTTAAAAAATTTCGTCGCTAGTTGTGTAAGCAGTGATCGGAATTCTACCACATTGTGGTAGATCTGCCACTTTTTTGAGCACCTACCACATCTACCACACAAGGTCTGAAATCTACCACATATTCGCGTTTTTGAGTAGTTTTATTTTTGCTCGACATAATTTTTTAATTTTAAGAGCAAAAATTGTCCAACACTAAACACTAACAACAGGCAGAATGGGAGGATAAAATAAACCGCAAAATAGTAAATTTTCCCAATATTCAATTTTTCGACAGGAAACGTGGTTTTATTGTGTTCAATTGCAAAATATATGCTTTATAAAAAGAATGAATAGCGAAAATGATAAAAACCGGCGATTTTTGTGAAAGGATTAGCAAATTTCAGTGCATCTCAAATTTCTAAAGGAATTGTCAAAATCGGCAAATCACAAGTAGCGGTTTCTGGAACGAGCCACATTTGTTCGCTACATCGTGATGTGATAAAAAGAAAAGCTGGCAGCACTCCGCAAGGTTGCAGAAATTTTTCAAAATACATATGTTCGAAAAATATCTTGAGATGGAAGGAACTGCTTTACACTGTCAATGAAAAAAATGGCCAAAACTCAATGCAATTTTTAGTAACTTCAATCTTGCACTTTATTACACTAAAATTATTTTTTTTTTAGATTATAATTAAAATATTTGCAATTTAGGTGCAACCTTGCAGAATTTTTTTAATTTTTGTACAAAGTTCCATCCAAAACCTGAGATCTACCACATTATTTTGAAATCTACCAATTTTTTTTTCCAGATTTTACCACACAAATTTTTTTTTAAGTCCGATCACTGTGTGTAAGTCTCAACTACTTCGCTCATCAAAAGTTCTTCTTCGATTTGCATTGCGAATGGGTACCTCACCAACACTAGAAGAAAATTAAGTCCCACTACGTCGGTGCTTTGGTCAAGTTGAAAACTAAAAATTCACAAGTTTTCAAACTTTTTATAAGTTCGACTGCCTCTAAAATCGTGTGGATTCGCTCTTTCACAGTGTGATTGTGAAGTTCGAAAGAATAAGTAACATATACCCACCCACTTTGGGAAAGCCTGCATTTCGGTATTTTCGAAGTGTTGCATAGCCCTTGCACGGTGCACTAATTGCACGGGTTGCATTGTAAAAACCGGTTTCCTATGGCACAGCTTTGTAAACCGTCCAGCCGTGCACCGTGAAGTAACCACTTCTAATAGATTTTGGGCCACTGCATTTGTAAAAATGGAATCATATACATATCTGAATTTTAAGAAAATAAGCAAGTAGGAAAATCGGCTAAAAACAGCCAAATTTATTTTGCAAAATGGCTCACAAATCGGTTGCCGGCTAAACCGAATTTTCTACGGCTGTTTACTATCGCAACCGGCTAAATCTAGCCGGAAAACGGCTAAAATGGCAACACTGATTGTGTTATCGAACAAAACTACTTACTGTTATTATTTTTACATACCCAAAGCATTGCATCTCTTTACAACTGCATTTTTACGAAGACGGGACACCATTAAGAGGAACGATATTTTCGATGTAGTAGCTGTTGCCAAAACGACAATAAATACAAAGATGTATGTCAAAAATTTAAAGATTTTCAAAAAGCAGCCCAACTTCGCCCAACTCGCTGCCGATCCTGTTGCTCTCCTTGATGGCGGGTCTTGGAAAGTGTCCCATAGAGGAGGCTTGTCTTTAGACTTACTATATTACAAATAATTTATTAAGTCACTTAAAATTACTATTTTTAATTTAGTTTTGTTCCTACCGAGATTTAAGAAAACTATCATCATTTGATTCCACGTTATGGCCATCCATATTGGCAAACAAACTCGTTTTAATCCCTTTTGCTTATGTATACATATCTACATATATCAAGTATAATTTATTGCTGCTTGTGAATCGTCTTTCATCTTCAACATGCAATCAAAGACTACTTTTGTATTGGCACATCATCATTTTAAGCAGATACATATGTACATATGATACCAAACAAGCATCACAACAGAACAATTTATTGATAAGGAGTCAGTATTTGCAAACATAATAAACGATAAGACCAATGAATATGATGAGTAGGGCTCGGAACCTCATGCACTAAAAAATCGAAAATTTGCGCATATGGCAAATCTAAAAAACAGGTACACTTTCAAAACAAAAAATTGAATTTTTTAATTTGTGGGCACACCTATGTTTTATATATGATTATATTAGTAATCTTTTAATAAATCGATAAATATAAGTGTAATTCATTTTCATCACGTGCTTCAAAAGTTAGACGAGGAATTAACATTTAGATTGCTGAAATTGAAAACGAAAGAAAATTTTTTTTTTTTGAAAATTTAATTAAATTTTAACAATTTTATAAATAACTCCCTCAGTTTTGAAGTTATTTTATTAAAATTTTGCACATAACGGGTTTTTAATGTTACCTTAATTATTCTTTAAAATTATCGAAATAGTTTCACTTTAACATATAGCTCCAATACAACTGATTACTCATGTTAGAAATATCAATTTAATAATATTTACTACTTTGTAATATTTACACTTTAACTTATAATTCTTATTGGCAGTTGATTAGATCGAGTTGTTTCAGTCTAATATAACAGAAAATATTTTTTCATTCTGTAAGAAATTCTTATACAATAAAGACCTTTTATAAATTCTTATAAGTTGCGGATTTTATTGCTTGAACACATTTGCAATAGGTTATGGGCCGTTGCACGATGGAGTTTTTAAAAGGATCTTTTACAAAGCTGAACGCAGACAACTACCATTTGTGGAAATTTAAATTGGAGTTGATATTGCGAAAAGAAGGAAGATGGAAATGTATTGTATAGAGGATGTATTGTATAGAGGACAGTCAGCTAATGTTAATCAAGAAGGCGAAAACGGCACGCAAGGCTTGGGATATCTTACGGAGTCAGCATGAAAAGGACACGCTTGGGAGTTGCGTAAGAATAATGTGGAAGATTTGTGGCATGAGATTCTCAGCGGATATGAACATCAATGAACATATCATGGAGATGAAAATCTTGTTTAAGAAGCTGGAGGCATTGGGAGAAACTTTTTCGGAACGCTGGTTGGTGGCTATGTTGTTAAGCAGCTTACCATCCTCGTTTAATACCCTGGTGATTGCTTTGGAGGCTCGAAAAATGGAAGAACTCACATAAAAGTTGTCGAGACAAGTATACTGGAAGAATGTTTGCGCCAAGGTGGATGTGGTGCTGCTAAGGAAGATTCAGTGATGAAAATAACTAAGATGGATGAGAAGTTCGAAAAACGGTGTCATTTTTGTAAGGTCAAGGGACACATTAAAAAGGATTACTGGAAATTCAAAAAGTCAAAGAGCAGCAACAGTGTGAATGAAGTTCGGAGCGACAGTCTGAATAATTATTGTTTCTCTTCAGCGAGTCATCGAAATTCGTGGGTCATTGATTCTGGAGCTACGTGTCACATCAGTTCAAAGCAGGCTTATTTCAAAACGCTGGACAGGTCGGTGCATGAGAAGGTAATAGTAGCGAATGGTCAGACAGTTTTCGCAAGTGGAAAAGGCTCGTGTGAAATCACATTGCGTAACAGTTACGGGGAAAAGAATTTGGTTAAAATGGATGGAGTGTTATTCATACCTGGCTTTCACGGAAATCTGGTATCCGTTCATAAATTTTTGCAAAAAGGCTTTCAAGTAGTATTCAACAAGTCGTCATGCAGTATTCAAACTCAGGAAGGAAAGGAAATTGGAGTTGCTGATCTTCAAGATGGTCTATTCCGATTAAAGCATCACGTTGAAAAAGTTTTAGCCGTCTCACAATGTAGGCTGCAGGGTTGTGAACACTACTGGCACAAAGTATTTGGCCATCGAGATATTAACGCGGTGAAATTCATGCAGAAAGAAGGTATGGTAAGCGATCTTAAATTAGTCAATTGCGGGGTAGAGAAAAATTGCCATGTTTGTCTTGAAAATAAAATGGTCAGAAAGCCATTTCCAGATTCGCATATTAAGTTCAATTCTGTAATGGACTTGGTACATACAGATGTCTGCGGACCAATGGAAACAGTCACGCCAGGGAAAAAGCGATATTTTTGACCTTTATTGACGATTATAGTCGATACACTGTAATTTATCTCCTTCAAAATAAGTCAGAGGTTTTTGATACATTAAAAATATATATGGAATTAGTAATGAATAAATTCTCGAGGTATCCAAAGGTTATCAGATCAGATAATGGAGGGGAATTTCGCTCAAAGGTTGTAGAGAATTTTTTGGATTTAAAAGGTATCCAGCGTCAGTATACAGTACCTTACTCTCCACAACAGAATGGTGTTGCTGAAAGGAAAAATAGAACATTGGTTGAAATGGCGAAGTGTATGTTAACTGAAGCAAAGCTAGCAAACTTATTTTGGGGTGAAGCAGTTAACACAGCGAATTATTTGCAAAACCGTTTGGTAACAAGTGCTACTAAATGCACACCTTATGAGAGATGGGAAGGTGAAATTCCTAGTATAAAACATTTGAAATTCTTTGGCTCAAGGGCATAAGTTTAAATCCCGAAAGAAAAACGGAAGAAATGGGACCGTAGATCTGATTTACTTACATTTGTAGCATGATACAATAATTTTTAGAAGGTAGTTTCACTTCAAAATTTTTGACATAAACCGTGTCTGTGACAAACACGCAATGTGGCCACTGCTACGATATAGAACTTGGGGATTTTCGCTTGTAATTTTAGATATTTTTTAACAAAACATGTAAAGATTTATATGTTTCATAACTGATCACTTAATTTTAAATATAAATATACGTATTTAATACATACATTTTTGCCACTGTTAATCACGGTTGGCTTTCCTTTATGGCCGTTCATTAAAGGGGCGGTGGGCGAATGGTAAGTGGGCGTGGCACCTCTAACCCACCTTTTTGGAGAGGGAATGAACCGCCATTGACAAAACTGCAACCCCCAACCACCTAGGTCCCCTATGGTTCCCTAGGGACCCCTTAGAAAAATTGCCAAAAAGCACAATTTTCATTTGCGTTTATTCGCTTGAAGTATGTTAAATATTCATTTGCACAATACATTTTTATATACACATTTTTATATACACATTTTTATATACAAGACATTTTTATAAAACACCCAGTAACCAAAATAGACATCACTGGGCGGCAGCCCCAGGTTTACCACACAGAAAGGGAATTCTAGTTACCTCATCCTTTCCCAAGGTTACATCAGGGTTATAATCCCTAAGCGCGGCCGAAGGCCGCCTACGCAGAAAGGAACTCTACGCAAAAATACTGTGGACGCAAGTAAAAATTGCGCTTTTAGGCCATTTTTCTAAGGGGTCCGTAGGGAACCATAGGGGGCCTAGGTGGTCGGGGTTGCATTTTTGTCAATGGCGGTTCATGCCCTCTCCAAAAAGGTCGGTTGGAGGTGCCACGCCCACTCCCCCTTCGCCCACCGCACCTTTAACGAACGGCCATAATGGAAAGTTTCCCCCATAAAAATGAAAATATAACGGCAATATTTCTTGTTTATAATGGATTAGATCCATCGCACACCACGGACTTTATCGGCCGCCGATTTAGATGGGCTCGCTAGTCTTTCCATTGCACCACAACTTATTGGTCGGAGCGATTAAGCTGGTGTAGTGTGCGCACTTCCATACATCTTCATGTACATATTTCAAGCGAGCCCTATTATTTAAATAGGTGGCCGATAAACTCTGTGGTATGCGGTGGCTCTTATAGCTGCATCCTTACACCTATTCCGTGTGTTGCAATATCCACGAAAGCAGCGGTTAACTTTTTATGAAGAAAAATATTTAAAAATATTCGAAAATTATTATTTATTTTTCCAACGTCAAAAGGTAGATTTTTTTTGAAAAATTTGGTACAACAAAAAATACGAAACACGTTTTCTGTCAGATAGCTAACATGGCGGATAAGAAGAAGAAGTGAAACTACCTTCTAAAAATTATTGTATCATGATTTGTAGGTTACGATGGCCATGCCAAGGGTTACAGATTGCTAGATGTAAACACAAAGAAAATAACTTTAAGCAGAGATGTCAAATTCATAGAGGAGGACGAATGCAAAAATTCTGATGAGTTGAAGAGTAATTTGAAAGAATGTCAAGAAGTCCCGTTGGTATTCTTAGTCCTAAAAATCGTGAAGTTGAAGAGTGTAGAAAGTATACAAATCCAACATCAAATGGTCAGTCAGAAGATGAAAACTCATTTCGAAGTTTGGATGGTGGAATAGGTTTTGGGAGTGATTTAGAGGATACAGTTGACATGAAGAATTTGCAAAATGTTAGTACGGAGGACAATAATAGAGAGAATGAACCTTTATATCAATTTGACAATATACCAATTGCAAAAGAAATCGAAATTCCAATACGCAGGTCAACACGGCCGACGAAAGGCAAAGTTCCGCAGCGCTTAACTTACAAAGTTAGTGATGTTACTGAAGAACCTAAAACATATAAAGATGCTATGGAATCTTTACAGCGTGAAGAGTGGGTTAAAGCAATGAAGGAGGAATATTCGTCTCTGATATCATCGAATACATGGGAATTGGTAGTACCACCTCCGAAAGCAAATATAGTTAGCTGTAAATGGACATATAAAATTAAACGAGATGAAATTGGTAATATAAATCGTTACAAGGCTCGTCTTGTAGCAAGATGTTTTAGTCAAAAATACGGCACCTGTTGTACGACAGACAACATTTAGGATCTTATTGAGCATTGCTGGTATTAAAAAAATGTCTGTGGTCCACATTGACGTCAAATCAGCATTTTTACATGGTACTTTGGAGGAGAAAATTTTTATGCAGAAACCACAAGGATTTCAGGAAGGGAACGGCAATCTTATATGTAAACTTAATAAAAGTTTATATGGTCTTAAACAAGCGGCAAATGTTTGGAATAAGACCTT